AACAGCGAGTGTGCGAGAGACGAGCAAGCGAGGAAAAGGATGCGGCGCATGAAAGACTTCAGGAGCAAGACAGAAAGAGAGCGGGCGCGACAAGCCACCCCGGGGTGGGGGGAGGAGAGAGAAAGTACGGAGAGACACAATGACACGGTGGCGACGCGTTGGAGGCAGCACTCAGGAAAGGCAGCCGCTCGGACCTTCTCCGAGCACCGGGGCTTCCCTGCGAATGAGCACAAGGACGGCGGCGAGCCGGGACGTGCGCGCACGGGTGTGCAAGGAAGACGAAGGAAGCGATGCCTCCCCACCCCAGTTCCGCTTCGTCACCGATTAAAAGGCAAATCGCTTGCCCGCCGCCCTGTTCGGGGGAGGAAGTAAGCCACGCGGAGTTCGGTGGGCTTCGCTTCCTTCCCAGCGGGGGCGGGGGGGGGGAGTGCGTAGGTCAGCCGTCAAAGTTCCCGCGCGTTGAGTTTGGGCGGCAACAACGTCGGGAGGAGACCGCCTCGGATTTCCACGCTCTCTTCCAAACACAATGGGAGAACAGAGCCCCGACTAGTAACCGTAATAATAAATAACAATGATCCTAGCAGTGGTGAGGCGATCCCAGAAAATATTGCCGCACTGCACTGCACTGCACCGCACCCACCCACCCACACGCGAGGAAAGTAGCAACGGTAAAATCGCGGCTCCTGCGGGCCGCATCATTAATCTTGGGGATTGCTGCTGGCGCACCTGGAGCTTCGCCGGGGCAAGAGTCATCCTGCCTTCCGAAGAGGCGCGCCCGGGCACCAGGAGTAGCTGGGAAGGCTTGGAGCGGGCGAGGGAGAGGCGGAGGCAGCGAGGCTAGTTATGTATGTATGTATTTATTTACGACTAAGTCAAGTCGTTCGGCAAATAAAGCGGAGATTTGGTATTAATTCCACTTAACCCGCCGAGGAGCTGCCGGAGCTCGCCGCCTCCCCACACCGGGACTGCGGCGAGACGTACTGAGCCTGCGCCAAGTCGCGTTTTTCTCGCTGATGCTGCAGATAGAAAGGGGAAAGAGGGGGAATTTAAAAAAAAAAAAAACACCCTCTCGCGCATACACACGCACGCGCGCACGCACAATCCCAGGGACTCCTGCGAGGTCCTGGGGGGGCGGGGCCTGGGCCGGCTCGTCGGCCAACCAGGGCGGGCGGTGGGAGGGCGCGCGCCATCCGGAGCGCACGCCGCTGTTGCTGCCGCCCCAGTCGCGCCAAAAGGAGGGAGTCCTCTCGCCTCGCTGGAAACGGGGAGCCGTCTCTGACTCAGACATAACAAGCGTGCGCGGGAGGCGCGCGCCGCTTCCGAGAGAGTGACGGCCCTTCCCAGGGCCTTCTCGCGCCCCTTCGCCTCGGATCCGCTGGTGCCCCGTCAGGGTCGAGTCCCTCCGCCACCTTCCCCTTTGCAACCGCGCCGCCCAGGACGGCGGTGGTGTCGGAAGACGGCTGCAAAGGCATTTGTGCCTGCATGGCTGCCCTGTGGTTCGGCTCGCCTGTGAGCGGGGCCAAGGAAGGACTGGAAGGATAACTGCTTCTCCTTCCCGCCCGCCCGCATTCCGCCGCCTCTCTGCCCCCGCTTGTGTTCCAGCTCGCCTGCCTCCTCCTCAGCCAGCTGCCTCGAGGTGTCTGCGCTCTCTCGCAGGGTCTCCCTCCCTTCCTTGGCGCCTACAGTGTGGATAGAAGCAAGGGGAGGTCGGGTAACAGAGGGAGTCGGGGAGAAAGGCGCGGGGTGGCTGTCAGCGGCCATGCTCCGCTCCCCACCCCCAACCAACAAAATAAGAGCGAAGACATGCAAATACCACGGGCGACTGAATGCTCCAAAGTCAAAAGAAGGAGAAAGTAGTCAACTAGGGTCGCGGGAATAAACAAAGTGGATGGAGTTGGCGTGAAAGTTGATTTCTGACAACCGGGTAGACGATGCTACATTTTCCAACAGTTCACTGGAACAGCTTGCAGGAAATAAATCTGTTACTTCTCCTTCGACGTGTAGACTTGCCAATTCCCCCCCGTCTTTTACACACCCGTACACACTCAGTGTGTGTGTATCTGCACTCACACACTGCACACGCGCGCGCGCGCACACACACTGCAGTTTATGTCGCTGTGTGGGAAACAGAAGGAAAATAAGAAAATGGGGAAATTCATCTTTCCAAAGGAGTCTTTGTAAACGTCATGAAGGATAGGGGGACTAATCCTGTTCCGGGGCTCTGCGGAGCCTACAGGCTTAAGGATCCCACCGCTCCCCCCCCCCACCAAGTCTGCCGTCTCCCTCCCCCCCTCCGGAGTTTTGATCTTGCTCTAGTCGTTCCAGCTTATCATCTGCCTGCCTGTAATAACACCCCAAAATCACAAAGCGAAAAGTTAAGCATATGTAGTCTCTCTCTCTCTCTCTCTCTCACTCACACACACACACACACACAAAAACACACGAGGAGAGCGCGCGCACAAAAAACCGTATGCAAAGCGAATACGCTCGGATCCACGTGATCCCTCTTTACAACCACCACCAGTCCTTTCCCGACCCCAAATCATCCTTTTCCCACCAGCTCTCCTTCTCTAGCTCCCGCGGGGGGTGGGGAGAGCATGGCCGAGATTTCGGCTAATAACGAATGAACCAGCCAACACTGGCTTCTAGATCCCATGCAGCACTGATGGGGGCTTTTTTGGGGAGCAGGGCGGGGGGCAGAGAGAAAGGGAGAATCGGGGATTGGGACGAAGCACAGCAAGATCCGCGGCCCGGTGGCAACGGCGGCGTGAGTGATATAATGAGGTTTGCTAGGGAAGGCAGGGCCGGTTGCCTCTATCCCAAGTTGCCGGCAGCAGCGGGAGAGGGTAAAGGCTGGCTTTCTCTGGAGTGCAGCACTCGGCTGCTCGCAACTCCTCCCCTCTCTCTGCCTGCCTCTGGCTTTCCGTGTATGTAGTACACAGGCGGCTGTGCTGCAGAAGCGGCAGCATCGGCAGGGAAGAGCCACCGAGAGAAGCTTCCCGAGCACTTCGGGCCAAACTTAATGCTCCGCTGCCTTCTCTCCTCCGCGCCCCCGTCGCCCATCCCAGCCCTGCTCCCGCGGCCGTTGGCGAGGCGTCACGCTCGCTCTCCCTTTTCTCCGCCGTGGTGTGTGTGTGTGCGCGCGCGTGTGCGTGTGTCAGGGAGGGAGAGAAAGAGGAAGCCGAGCTCCCTGCACCAACCAGCCGCACTTGAGCGAGACGAGCCAGGAAAAGAGGGTATTGCAAACCATAACTGCAGCTCTCGCCCGGAGCGGCGGTACCGTTCAGAAGGGAACGGCCGGCTCCGATCGTCTTTCCTATGCAAGCAGGACTTGCCTTGATCAAACAAGCCAACAAACAAAACCCCATCGCATCATTTGGACATATGTAATTTCTTTTGAAAAAGAAAAGAGCCCCCCCGCTTCTCCCCCCCCCCAATTTCGTAGAGACGGACGCAATTCAGAATCGGTGGTGGTAATTCACGTGGGAAGAAGATCCAGTTGCATCTCCTCCCTTGCTCACCCACCCCCTCCGGCTTCGGGGCTACATGAACGAGGGGGGAGCCCCAAGGGGGCAAATCGCCTTCGGGCGCACCCCCCCCCCGCAGGAAACCTTCGTCTTAACCTTTGAACTGCTTAAGTAGGAGGTAGGAGAGAAAAGGGGGGGCTGAAGTTCAGAGCCGGTTTACCTGCATTGGGACGGCAAGGAAGAAGCCAGTGAGCGAGGAGCGGGCGAGAGACTGCAATCTCATTTGTGAATCGTTCTCCCAGTGCTGCAGCCTCCGATTGCTCTAACACATGCAGTGTAAATGCAGGTAAGACACGCGCGCGCGCGCGCACACACGCCAACTGCGGATGCAAAAGCAAACTTGGGACTGTGGTGTCGTGTGTGTGTGCGTGTTCGCGACAGGGAGAGAGGTCTGCGTGCGGTTTTCTCCGATCCTTGTTACATTCTGGACGAACATCTCCTGCAGCTTCTGTACCATGTTGCTCTGTGACTAATGACCTTGCGCAGAGTTGTGTGTGCGTTTTTTTTCTTCTAATTCTTTTTTTTTGAAGAGGAGCCCTCCTCTCCAGAGAACGGACTGAACGTTGGAGGCGATCCCTAAAGATGGATTTGGGAGCTATCCTGAGAACGAAGCGGGATTTCTTGAAGACTGCTCTGTAAATACGAAAGGGGGAAGAACTCTTCCCAAATAGCTATCGATCGATTTGACATCGCCGGAGATTGTGTGTTTCGTTTTGTTCAGCTGGGGGCATTTTTATTCAACCCCCCTCTCCACAGGATTTGGAAGCTGCGTTCTCTCTCTCTCTCTCTCTCTCTCTCTCTCTCTCTCTCTCTCTTTTCCGCCGGACACCAGCGCTCTCTGAATGAAGCAATTGACATTCCCCCCACCCCTTCCTCGGCGTGTGCATGCGGGAGTGGATGAGAGAAAAGAGCTAATTCCACGGCGGTAAGCGGCTACCAGAGAGAGAGAGAGAGAGAGAGAGAGAGAGAGAGAGAGAGAGAGAGAATTGTATTGGACTGGAGTAGAAAGAAGGCGACCGGGAGGTTGCATCAAATCTCTCGCCGCCGCTCTTGCTTTTCTTGCAAACCTTGCAAAGTGATTACAGTGCCATCGTAGAGGGAGGAGGAGAAGGAGGAGGAGGAAGAGGCGGAACTACCCCCTCCTATCTGCCGAGATGAATCTTTAAAAAAACAAAATACACTTGCCCCGTGAACTGTGAGTATAGAACAACTGCAAAGGGGAGGCGAACAAGAGGTGGGGAGAGCTGCCGGGCAGCCCCAGACACCCCGCGCCCCATCGCCTCCTGCAGCAGCTAGGATGAGAGCCGAAGTTTTCGCAAGAGCTGAAGGATTTTATCGCTGATCTTCCCCGCCAGACGCCGAACGTTTTCTGCGGGCTTGCCAAGGGGCGGGCGGGCGGGCAGGGGGCGCGTTTCTTGGCACGGGTGGGAGAACGAAGGTGGCGGAGGGTCTCTTATTGGGCGTTGAAGGAAGATGTGGAAGATGCGGACGCTCCTGGGCTTCGTGCAGGGCTGCTACGGCGGCTGCTGCTGCTTCTGGCTCCTGCTGCCGCCGCCGCTGTGGGTCAGCCTGGCCGCGGCGAAGCAAGTGCTGCGCTACCGGCTGGCCGAGGAAGGGCCGGCCGACATCCGCATCGGCAACGTGGCCTCGGACCTGGGCATCGTGACGGGCTCGGGCGAGGTGACGTTCAGCCTGGAGTCCGGCTCCGACTACCTGAAGATCGACAACATGACGGGCGAGCTGAGCACCACGGAGCGGCGCATCGACCGCGAGAAGCTGCCGCAGTGCCAGATGATCTTCGACGAGAACGAGTGCTTCCTGGACTTCGAGGTGTCCGTGATCGGCCCGTCGCAGAGCTGGGTGGACCTCTTCGAGGGCCGGGTCATCATCCTGGACATCAATGACAACACGCCCACGTTCCCCTCCCCGGTGCTGACCCTCACCGTCGAGGAGAACCGCCCGGTGGGCACGCTGTACCTGCTGCCCACCGCCACCGACAGGGACTTCGGCCGCAACGGCATCGAGCGCTACGAGCTGCTCCAGGAGCCCGGCGGCGGCGACGGCGGGCGGCGCGGCGGCGGCGGCGCGGCGGTCGCCACCGCGGACAGCGCCCTCTACCCCGGGGGCGGCAAGAGGCGGCAGGAGGCCGACGGCGCGGCCAGGAGCAGCGTCTTCGAGCTGCAGGTGGCCGACACGCCCGACGGGGAGAAGCAGCCGCAGCTGATCGTTAAGGGGGCGCTGGATCGGGAGCAGCGGGACTCGTACGAGCTGAGCCTGCGGGTGCGGGACGGCGGCGAGCCGGCGCGCTCCTCCCAGGCCATCCTGCGGGTGCTGATCACGGACGTGAACGACAACAGCCCGCGCTTCGAGAAGAGCGTGTACGAGGCGGACCTGGCCGAGAACAGCGTGCCCGGCACCCCCATCCTGCAGCTGCGGGCCGCCGACTCGGACGTCGGCGTCAACGGGCAGATCGAGTACGTCTTCGGGGCGGCCACGGAGTCGGTGCGGCGCCTGCTGCGCCTCGACGAGTCCTCGGGCTGGCTCAGCGTGCTGCACCGCATCGACCGGGAGGAGGTGAACCAGCTCCGCTTCACCGTCATGGCCAGGGACCGCGGGCAGCCGCCCAAGAACGACAAGGCCACGGTGGTGCTCAACATCCGCGACGAGAACGACAATGTGCCCACGATCGACATCCGCAAGATCGGGCGCATCCCGCTGCGCGACGGCGTGGCCAGTGTGGCTGAAGACGTCCTGGTGGACACCCCCATCGCCCTGGTGCAAGTGTCCGACCGTGACCAGGGCGAGAACGGCGTGGTGACTTGCACCGTGGTGGGGGATGTGCCCTTCCAGCTCAAGCCGGCCAGTGAGGGCGAGGGCGAGCCCCAGAACAAGCGCAAGTACTTCCTGCACACCTCAGCCACCCTCGACTACGAGGCCGTGCGTGACTACAATGTGGTGATCGTGGCTGTGGACTCGGGCAGCCCCAGCCTGTCCAGCAACAATTCCCTGCTGGTGCGCGTGGGGGACACCAACGACAACCCGCCCGTCTTCAGCCAGCCTGTGCTAGAGGTCTCCTTTCCCGAGAACAATGCCCCCGGCGAGAGGGTGGCCACCGTGTTGGCCACGGATGCTGACAGTGGCAAGAATGCGGAGATAGCCTACTCTCTGGAGCCCTCCCTGCTCTCGCCCGACTCTCCTGGAGGCCTCTTCACCATTGACCCTGATTCTGGTGACGTGCGGGTCCAGGCTGTGCTGGACCGTGAACAACGGGATACCTACGAGTTCCTGGTGCGGGCCCGGGACAAGGGGGTGCCACCCCTGGAGGGCTCCACCACAGTGGTGGTGCGGGTGGCCGACCGCAATGACAACGAGCCACGCTTCATGCAGGATGTCTTCACCTTCTACGTCAAGGAGAACCTGCAGCCCAACAGCCCGGTGGGCATGGTGACCGTGATGGATGCGGACAAGGGGCGCAATGCCCAGCTGAGCCTCTCCATCCAGCCCGGCGGCGGCGGCGGCAGCGACCCAAACCAAAGCACCCCCGGCGGCATCTTCTCCATTGAGAACGACACAGGCACCATCTACTCCACCGTTTCCTTTGACCGGGAGCTGCAGACCAGCTACACTTTCAAGGTGAAGGCGGTGGATGGGGGCGAGCCCGCACGCTCGGCCACAGCCACCGTCTCCCTCTTCGTCATGGATGAGAATGACAATGCGCCGGCCGTCACCTCGCCAGCCAACAGCTCCTACACTGTGCTGCCGCCCTCCAGCCACGTGCGCTCGGTGGTGGCCACGGTGCAGGCCCGCGACGCTGATGCGGGCCAGAATGCCGAGCTGAGCTACAGCCTGGTGGGGGGCAACCCCTTCCGCCTCTTCGAGATCGATCCCACGAGCGGCGTGGTGTCGCTGGTGGGCAAGCTGGCGCCCAAGCACTACGGCCTGCACCGGCTGGTGGTGCAGGTCAACGACAGTGGGCAGCCGCCCCAGTCCACCACAGCGCTCCTGCACGTCTTCGTGAACGAGAGCCTGGCCAATGCCACGGTGGTGGAGGGCCAGGTGGCGCGCAGCCTGCACACCCCCCTGGGCCACGACATCGCCGGAGACCCCAGCTATGAGCTGAGCAAGCAGCGCCTCAGCATAGTTGTGGGGGTGGTGGCCGGGATCATGACAGTGGTCCTGCTCATCCTGGTGGTGGTCATGGCCCGCTACTGCCGCTCCAAGGGCAAGCACGGTGGCTACGAGGCCGGCAAGAAGGACCACGAGGACTTCTTCACGCCCCAGCAGCACGACAAGGCCAAGAAGCCCAAGAAGGACAAGAAGGGGAAGAAGGCAGGGAAGCAGCCGCTCTACAGCAGCATCGTCACCGTTGAGGCCTCCAAGCCCAATGGGCAGCGCTATGATGGCGTCAATGAGAAGCTCTCTGGGGACAGTCCCGCCATGAGCCGCTACCGCTCAGTCAATGGCGGCCCAGGCAGCCCAGACCTGGCCAGGCATTACAAATCCAGCTCCCCTTTGCCCACCGTCCAGCTCCACCCGCAGTCACCCACGGCCGGGAAAAAGCACCAAGCCGTGCAGGAACTGCCCCCAGCCAACACCTTTGTGGGTGCAGGGGACAACATCTCCATTGGGTCCGACCACTGCTCCGAGTACAGCTGTCAAGCCAGCAGCAAGTACAGCAAGCAGGTAAGCCGGGACATGCATGGCTGGAGAATGGGTAGAAGGACAGGGGTGGGGGGAGCCCACACGTCCCCTTCGCCTCCCCACAAACCTGCTTTCAGACTCCACAGACAGCCACACTGCTTGTGGTTCTTCCACAGACAGGAAACCTGCCCAGCCCTGTGTTAGATTCAGGAGCATCTTCTCAGGCGTATCTTCTGGAAGTAGCATAAATCCAGAGGGTGACTGGGGCAAGCTAGTTACTCCTAATCTGCCGACTCTTTATTATAAGGTGTGTGCATGAAGGGTACCTAGCTGTAACATCCTAAGATAGATGGAGTGTGTTAAGAGGAAACTGCTAGTCTCAGTTAAGTGAACGTTTCTACCTACAGGCATTCATCATACCCCAACCCAGCGTCAGCTCATGTTGTCCAGAACCTTCCTCCCCTAACAAATATTTAGCAGCAGCACTTTTATACCCCACCCATTCCCTCTTGCAAGGAACCCAAGGTGGATTAGAAGGTTCATCTCTCGATTTTATCTTCTAGAGAACCCTGCAAGGTAGGTCAGCCTGAGATACCGTGACTGGCCCGAAGTCACCCAGTGCTGAGTGGGGACTAGAACCCAGATCTCCTGAGTCCCAGTCCAGCAGTCTTATCACTGCACCACACTGGCTGTGGTAGTGACAGCTGCAAACACAGCAAGCAGACGTGTTAGAGCTTTTCTCATACAGTTAGTCTGGAATAGCAACCATTTCAGGGCCAAGCTCACCCTCTTGAATACAGTTTGCTGGACAAGACTGTCAACCTTCCAACGTGACACTCCTTAACTAATGATTTATTTATTTATTAGATTTTTATCCCACCACATTAGGCTTCCTGAGTTGAACTTGGGTGTTTAAAGTGTGCTGAAAGGGAAGCAGCGATCTTAGTTATTTGAGCTTTACACACAGGTGCACCTGTCACTATTCCTTCCCATTGCAAACACAGGCAAGCAGTTACACCTGTTTAAAGTTTCCCCATAGTAGCACGTAATAGGCACCACTCAGCTAATCTGCTCTCAGCTACAGTATATTCAGTTTCCGCATGGTCTTGCCTATCACAGCCATTCCCCCCTCCTCTCTCTCTCTCACACACACACTCACTCACTCTCTTTGCTTGCAGTCCAGGCCAATTTCCTTGCTGTCTCAGCCAGAAACTAACTGATAGCTCGCCATCTATTTTCCCTGTGCTAGCCCTCTTCTCCCCAACCCTCTTCAGCGAAATTTCTTGGTGTGTCTTCTAAGCAGACCTATGTTCTAGGCACAATGCCTGAGCTGTCAGAAGATATAAAATATCACAAAATATTCCCTTGTTTGGATTAAGAACCATGTTGGAATAAGTATCATTTTAGAGAAGCCAAGTTCTAACCGTTAATGAAAATCAGAAGTGTGACGGCACATTGGTTCAGAGCAGGAGAATCAACCCCTTTTCCTACACTTTAAACACACCGGTAATTGGTAGGCCAAGATGATTAAAGTGCCAAGCAGAAACTAGTTCAGTTTAGTGGCCTTTGGACTCTGCCCCCTTCTGGATAGGCAACTCACATGTCAGCACACAAAGTCGTATTTGCAGAGAGGAAGGCTGGGGATGTTGCCAGTTTTCAGTTCTCCTTCTTTTCTCCTTGCCACATGAGTCCCGCATCCAGGTCTGGCTCAGTGCCACAGCCGGAGATAAACATAACAATTCTACCTACCCACAACTGCATGTGAACATGTGTGTGTGCACAAGAGAGACAGAATGGCACTGTACCAACCACACAGAAACATGTTCAAAACTGCAAAGAGGCCAGGCAGACTGCACAAGCGGCATAATTCACTTTGGGGCAGCTGGGAGCTTGAGTAGATACAGGTAGTATGTGCTCTGTAGGAGTCCCACTCTTGCAACCTCTGCAAAGAGCCTGGTACACAGTTCTTAGTCTATACATTCAGGGTTTGTGGGGAAGCCAGAGGTCTTGGACTGGCCCTGCAAGTAGCTAAAGTAAGTTGAGTACTTGGAATGGCTGCCCATAACTAAAGCTTGAAAGGAGCGGAGAGCAGAGGTTGGCTGTGCATATGGATGGACCATACCAGCTTGTTTATCTATAACCACTTTCCACTTTCTTAACACGCATTAGCAACAGAGAGAGTCATCAGGTGGGGTACGGCCGCTCGGGACATGTTAACAATTGCAGAGAGAAGGTCATCAGGACAGCCTCTGTTTTGTCATCATGGGCAACTAGTCAGGGAATCAAAGACAGGTGAAAGGATCAGGCTATTTCAGAATTCCAGATCCTTACCCTGAGAGAATTTCTTTACCTTTGGCAAGGGAAATGTCTGTCAGGGACAACTTCTATGACTTCCCCTCTTCCACGAAGAAACCAGTGCCTGGCAATGTCATCAATGTCATCTTTCTCCCAGCACCTGGCCAAACACCAAATTACCTTTCTTTGCATTTCACCATGATAAGCGAGTTGTGGATGCTGGGTTAGTCACCTACCACCACTTCGTCTACAGCATAGCCTGCAAAATATCTCCAACCTAACAGACGGAAGAACCCCATTCCCCTTGATGCATGTTCCTCCACAGAACCAGCCAGTGCTAAATACAGCAAGAAGGAGAGGGAGAATGGGGGTCGATTCCTCTCCCCTATCCCATCACTATCATCTTCACTCACTTTGCCAGAGAACATGGGCTTGGTCAAAGTTCTGTGACCCAAAACCATCAGTCACCAGTTCCTCTTTCACAGAGTTTCAGACAGTGGTTAATCTCGGAGAGGAAACTATTCTGAGCCACTAGAGGTAGACACCCAGCCAAAAACAGGTCCCTAAAAATCCGCTGCGCTCTGGCACCTCTTGCATTGTCTAGGTGGCGAGGAAGGCAACTGTTCACAGTTAAATTACATATGGTTTTCTTTCACAGGAAAGATCCAGCATGTTTTAATTTAATGGGTCATTCAGCTTTCCAGTAGTAAAATCTCCCTGTGAGATTGTGAAACGGCTGACACTAAATATCAACATTAAGTGCGCTGATTCTAGTGGGAGTCATGCAACTTATTCAGGATGTGAGAGAAGGAAGAATCAGAGCCCTTCCTCTCATGAATATTTTCTGCATTGATCTAAAGAATGTTAAAAAGAAATGAATTAGATCAGATACATTCTTCTACCTTTCATTGAGCCTGTGGCATATCACTGTACCCAAAAACTCAAGCCCCACCTGTTTTATGATCCCTTCCACCAAAGTTAAATTATTCTAAACTCAAGGATGAAGGTATGAGTAGGCCACTCAAAAGCTTCAGTACCTTCACTTTGAGATCAGAAGTAACACAAGGTACTGATTTGGATCTGCACCACCAAGACCTATGTAGAGGAGAGAGATTCTGAAATTTCCCACCTTAAATCAGGGGAAGACTGTTATGTTCTATGCTTCTAGTTCTGTGCTGCAGTCATAGAGCAATTTCTTTTGTTTTGAATTAAGGTGATTTCTCTCCTTTTACCTTGTTGGAAGGTTGTATGCAAAGCAGACCAGTTAATGGTTAGTCCTGTCAGAACCTAGCTAAGGTAAATATTATGTTATCTCCAGCTGCATAGCATCTTGTGTGGAATTCCATTATAGGAAAATGCATGCTGAAGAATGCAAATACAATGCGCAGTCAGGGATTCAGACATCTTGGCTAGTTTGACAAAAAGAATTGTGTTTGCTATTGTGTGCTTAAATGTGTACATGTGGTTTAAAAACCTATTTTATATTTTGGGATCTGTTAGCTTACTCATCTTGGACCTTTGTCACAGGTAGCTTGTTTTTGGTTTTTTTGCATTGTGCAGGCAGCAATAGGGTGTATTTTGGTGGCAGCAGTTTGCATGCACTATTTATAGTTTATGCTGAATGGAAGCAGTACATGTGAAAAATATATCCCCCTCCCCCTTTCAAAAACAGAAGAAGCTGTGTGTATGTGTATAGAAATTTCTGCTGTATGTAAGTTTGCTTCATGGCACACTCCATTAGCAGACTCCTAAAAGCATATTCACTGCAGTTTAGCATTGTCTGAAATTGCTTATTTATTAATTTGAAGATACAAAACCAAATTTCCATCAATGAACAATTTCATTCAGAAGTGAAAGGAGAATGCCTTTTTAACAATAGCTGCAGTAGAACTTGGAGTACCTGCTACCTTAATCAAATGTTAATTGAGTCTTTCTCTATGGTCATCTTAGAATAAGTTTGGAATGTTTAAAAGCATTGTTAATTCAGGGTAATATTAGTCTATACAGACATTCCTTGTGTGTGAAAAAGCACTTAAGTGCATTAATGTACTAAAACTATTGTGAATTATGTCAAATGTTTTTCCAGAAGCTGTTTCTAATGCAGAATATTAGAATAGCCCATTTGAGGAGAGGTACATACAAAGAACTAGTTCTTTATTGAAATAATACCTGGTGTACGTCTTTGTTTTGAATGTGACTATCAAGGCACCATAACTTACCAGCTAATTTCACTTCTCTGTTCCCAAGTATTGTTTGAATGTGCACTGGAGAGTTGGCACTATAGCATGTAATATTGTTGGTCCAATAACTTTATTAACATTGGAATTGTAGTTTTCAGGGGACAGGTTCTTTAAGGCAGGTGCAGCTACTCAAGTGTAGGCATCCCAAGATAAAATGTCTTGGCATTTCTAGACACGCAGAAGGCACTTCCCTGAAAAACACCAGTACTGGGAAGCACAGCATCTTGCAGAAGAAAATAGCAGTGGAATGTGTTCTTGATTAACTTGATACTCCCTGATATTTTCTTGTTTTGTCTGTTTTGCATAACAATAAGCCTAACAGGTGGGGAGTTATATAAATAGTATATGTGAACTTTTCAAACCTGAAAGAGTGGCATTTGAGCATTGACTGATTTATCTGTCACAACATTTACATTTTCCCGAATGACATTAATGTTCATTGTCTTGTTCAAAAGCAAATGGGATCCATTTCTCCTTTGCTACCTATTGTTTAAGTGTGACGATCAT